TTTGCCTATGCCTGGTTTAGCTCCACAGGGAAGGACTGTACCCCAGTGGCAGATCATTTGTTTTGCATGAGTAAGACTCCAGAATGAATCCCTGCCATCACCTGCTATAAGAACCAGGTCGCAGGTGATGTGAAAGACCTCTGCCTCTAAAACCCTAGCGACTTGGACAAATAGTTTGACGTGATATGGGGGATCTTCCTAAGTTACCACAGTTGCTTATTTGTTCTGTGCTATCCATGCAAGTCCTGCTTGCCTATGTAGTTGTGACCATCAAATAATAACTAGTCGTCTTGGGAGAAGTAGGAGCTCTGATTCTAAATTTTTACTGCTTACCAAACCTTCCACCTGGGAAGTAGGTGCTAGTTATATACAATAATTTAGAAAGCTGGACTAAAGCTTGGATGCAATTGTACGATTTTGTGTGTTGTTTCTTTATGAATTGTGATACGTTCATGGTTTTCTTAAGTTGCATAGGGGGGAAACAGGGGGAAATGGATTTTCAATGGCAGGAGTGGGGAACCATTTGCCTGTGGGCCAAATGTGGCCCTCCAAGCCACGTAATCCAGTCGTCATGACCCCTGGGACTCTCCTAGGCTATGCTCCCTCTCCCCAGGCCAGGCCATCAGCATATCCTTGCACTGCAATAATGCATCTTGCTTGCCTAAATGAAGAGATGGGTGTGTAGAAACCTCTGATTTTACATGGCTGGAATGGAGCCCAAAGGAAACAGCCACATCCATTGCACCATCCAATTTTGCTTCTAGCCGCATCCACCATATGCAGGCATCCTCCCACTGAAAGTTTGCCAGCGAGAATACAGCACTAAGGCTGAAATAAATTCCATTTCCCTGATCCATGAGGTTGGTAGGCAAACACAACCCATATCTTATGGGCTGGGAAAACATGCTAACCAAGGAGATCATTTTTTTGCAGAGACTGCTTCCTTCTCTGATTTTCACCTCTGATGCTTTCCAGCGTTAAATTTTAGACTGCAAGTTCTTGGGGGCAAGAACATACTCTGGAATGTGCCGTGCACACTGATAATGTTTAATAAATAAATAATTCTGCTGAGATTTACTATTTTGCCAATCCTGGATAGATTTCTTATACCCTTACCATTCCTAACACTGCTTGAGCAAAAATATTTGGAATTACTAATTGAAGACAGTAGGATTTACTTCTAAATGAATGTGTTCAGCACTCAGGGATCAAATTGCCTATCAACAGTTTTATTACATTTCCTTAAGTATTGGCCATTTTGGCAGGCAGGAAGCTCAATCAGCTGAATTATTGCTCTGGACTCTGAACTCGGTGCTCTGTTTCTGAACTTGGAAGTATAGATTTGTGTCTGCATCTACATACTTCTTACATAGCAACATTTGTGATGGAAAAGTGGATTCTGGTTTCACTAACTCAACAGCAACTTCTGGTGACCATATGGTTCTAGTAACTTCATATATGTGTGCTGATGTCTGGAATTAAGTAGTTCTTGGCCTAGGACAGAAAATACGTCGATGGTCATTCAGGGGTCACTGAATGACTGCCCTGTTTTGCTGCTTCATCGAACAACTTACTTATCTCAGTTACTCAAGTTCTCCATACTGGGGGGCAGGGGAAGGCAGAACAGACTGGCTCATACATCAGGAAAGACTCGGAAGGGAAGACAAATATTTTCCAGGATTAATAATGTTAGTCAAAACATGAAAGAAAAGAAAAAAAGAATTGTGTTTGGAGAGGAAGAAGTGCTCTGACAAGTGTGACCTCTGCTTTTCTCCTGAGTCCCTGTCTTTGAAACCCAAAGCCGCCTTTAATGTTCACCAGGTGTCACCAGGGCTCTCCACTTCCTTTCAAGATAGGAAATTTAGCCTTGCCATTTCAGCCTCTCTGATTCTCTGCAAGTGAATATATTCATATTCCTTTCAGTTGTACCCTATGAGTTCAAAGGGCACAAAGAGGTTGGGAAATGGTTTGACTTTCTTTTCTTGCCGCCCTTAAAAGTATGGGATCCCAGAATGTTTGTTCACTTTGGCAGCTAGGCAAGAGGGCCCTGCATCTAGGTCTGTGAGGTTACCCAATGTATGTTCTTACCTGCTGCACCAGTTACCTCTTGCTGAACCTCCATTTTTCTCCCTGCTGCTACAGTTTGCCTCAAGCTGCTGCCATTTTGAACATAATGTAGATGCATCCTTTGAGCTCACCTTGATGCTAAATATGGTGATGATTATTTAAGCTAGAGGTTGGGAGGTTGCACAAAAAAAAAAGTTATGGGGCAGAGGAGTGGTAGAAAAGGGGAGAAATTTCACTTCAAGGCATTAATCTTCTTTCCAGATCGATTTATTGGTTTTTTAAAAATTTATTATCACCATCCTTGTTAATTATAGAGATCATTTAACCGATTTGAAAAGCTTCACGCTACCAAGCTATGTTTGGAATCCCAAGTCCACTCTTTTTCTTACATTCTTTTGTTGTTTAAACTAGATCTTTTCCCTCGAGAGAAAAAAGAAGAAGGTTGAATTGCTTTTGCCATGTTTTCAATTTGCCTTTGGGTAGTTCTGTGTGCAGTAAATAAAAATAAAATTTTGGTTTGAAACTTGATTTCATTAGTGCATTACTGCTTTTCTGCTTGGTCATGTTAATTTAATAGTTTCCCAGTTTTCTAGATCCCTTTTAATTTTCTTCCTATGTGGGATAGAAATGAAGTTTTTAAAAGAAGTTTGGTTAGTTTTTAAAGGTATGTTCCGCTCCCCCATATCATTATTTTGTTATTTACTACTTACTTTTTGTTGTTTATTGGTAATTTTCATGGAGGAAGCACATGAAAAAGGGCTTCAGATGATGATCACAGGGTCCAGGTCAGTTCATAGGGGGAGAGGTGGTCCTTGAGGTATTGTGGCTCTTAAGCCGTTTAAGGTCAAAACCAGCACTTTGAATTGGGCCCAGAAACTAGTTGGAAGTCAGTGCAGTCAGCCCAGGATTGGCATTATATGCTCAAAGCGTCTTGTCCTGGTGGTCAGCCTGGCCGCTGAATTCTTCACCAGCTGAAGTTTCTGAACCGTCTTCAGATGTAGCCCCACGTATAATGTGTTTCAGTAACCTAACCTCTTCCACTTTTGCAAACCTTGGGGTTCCTGTAAGCCTGTTGATACCTGAATCCTGTCTGCAAAAGTAACAGATCAATCATAGAGGGAATGGTAAGATGATAATAATATTAATTAAGCACCTTAAATACTGCCCTATGATACATAAATGGTGCTGATTGGAGATCTCATCTGTATTGCAAGTTCTATAACTCACTTTCTAATCCCTCCTCCCCATTATTGGAAAGAAAGATTGTTCTGTTTGATAGCTCATGCTAAACAGAGGACAATTTCAGCAGTGGATTAATTTAGCTGTATTTTATATTTTAGATATTGTAAGTTTTGCCAAATACATAGGACCGTCTAGAGAAGAGCCCCATTTCTGTTGCACCACAATTGTGCATTAGGCATTGGCAAATGAATCCCTTGTGTGCACAGGATCCATTCAAAAGGTGCAACCCTTGTGGGCACTTGCCATGTTATTTTCTTGAATTGTGCAGAGAGCACTGGTGCTGCTGTAAGCATCTCTAAATGGTACATGCGACATAGAGCTATCATTGTAGCAAAATGTTTCCTACAAACTTCCAAGCTGCTGGGGTACTATTTAAATGTAAAATAATAAAAAAATAATCCCAGAGACTTGCTGCTTTCATTGTTTGCCTTTGATATAACTCAAAAATTATTACTTCTTAACAGTGATAAACACAATGTGTACAAGCAATACATTTGTGCTGGAAAATTATTCTTACACTATATCAATTGTTACAGATCATCATTCTTTTAAAGTTACTAATCAGTTTCCTTGCCTCTCCCCTCACCCTTGATTATATGCCCCCCTCCCTGTTCCCCCAGGCTGTTTTGTTCCTTAGCTATATGAAAAGAATCTCATCTGGGGTCTTTTTTCCACCCATTTGGAATGCATGAGTCACTTAAGATGCATTCAAAAGGAAATATGCATCTCTATTCAGTTTTTTAAACCAACACAATGTTTACCTTCATTGTACTTGGCGGAGGTCTTAGGTCAGGGGTGGGGAACCTTTTCAGGTCGCATTCCCTTGGAGCTAACTTTCCAAGAGATGCATGCTAGTGGTGAGTGTGGCAAGTGCAAAAAGTGTGGGTAGGGGCACCCCATAAACATTTCTCATAAACAGACATACACTCATTCACATCCCCAGCAGTTTAGGCATCAGCAGACACTGCAACCTTCCAGCAGCTTGACTTCACCCCCAAAGGCACACTCCTCCATTGTCTCCCGAGACAGACCGATGCCAACCCAGTTTAAACATCTTCTTACCTTTCTTCAAGCCTATTTGTCGAAGGAGGAGGAGGAGTGGGGGGGCTTGTGGAAATTTCATTTGGTTAATCTTTCCCTCCCCACCTGCATTCTCCACAAATATCACCCACTTGCCTCACACCCTGTGCAACAATTAGGCTTAAAAACAATTTTCCATTTGCACCAAGAGAAAGCTTCCTTCAAGCCTAATCATCACACAGAGGAGAGTAGTTCTGGTGAAGAGGGTCAGACCGCAATGGGAAAATAATCAACCCCTTTTTCCTCAGCAGTGCCTTTCCTTGTGACATCTCCTCTTCTCTGCAGTGCTTGTGCTCCCACAGAAACTACTCCAGAAGGTTGGAGAACCATTGGAGCAGATTTTGGGGCACGTGGGGAGAGGGAAGGAAGGGAAAGTCTTATTTTCATGAGCAATGTTTAGCTCGTCTTCAGGTTACAAGTATAACCAGCTTTCCTGTTCCCAAGTAAAATAGTCTTGGTTTCCCAGATAGGGAATCAGCTTTTGAGACCCCATTGGATGTGTATAAAGAAGATACCTACCATTTGTCAAAATAACACATCGGGAAGAAGGTGGAGTAGACAGACAGACATCCTGTTGAGGTATACATACAGTTTGCTTTTTGGCTGCTTGTGGAAGAGTCCATAGCTTAGTGGTAGAGCACATGCTTTGCATGTAATTAGACTTAGGTTCAATCCCTAGTGTTTCCAGATAGGGTTGGGAGACATCCCAGCTGGAAACCCTGGAGAGCAGATGCCAGTCGGTGTCACAATACTAAGCTAGGATGAATCAGTGGTCTGACTTAGTGTAAGGCAGCTTCCTATGTTCCCTGGGTGAAAAGTGGTAAGGAGTTGGTTTAAAAATAATACAGATGGGATGATGAAGACCAAAGTTGCCTCCAGTATCTTGCAGGAGGGACCCAAGTGCATACTGGAAATTCAGGTTTGCAAAATTAAAGTGGGTTAATGTGGTTTAGAGCAACAATCCACTTTAAAGAAATAAAGACTTACTGCAGTAAGGAAGGTGACTGGGAAACACTGAAAAGGGTGGTATGAACAAATGATTAATGGGAAGACATAAACACCACATAAGCAAATCAGGCTGAATGCTCAGAGCTGTAAAACTCCCCTCCCCACAACAAAACAGATTGAATGCTCAATAAAAACAGGACATAGTCTAACCTCTGCGTAAGCAAATCAGGAAGCATGATCAATAAACAGATTGTCTAGAGGAGCCCCAAAACACACTTAATGAAGTTTGTCTGAATTACTCAGAACAGCTGGTCTATCCTAGAAGTATTAACTGAGAAGATTATACAACCCTCCTTTAAAAGTAAAAGTTAGTAATAACCCAATAAAGTTAAAAAGCTTGCCTCTGTTATCTTTGGCTGTAGTTCACGGCTATGCTTCATGATTGTGAGGGTAACAAGAGAAGAAAGAGGATGTTTCTGTATCTGAAAGGCTAAAAGGTCCTACGTAACTATTTTTTGTTTTGTGTCTTTAGCTTAATTTCTCAGTAACATACTGTTTGGAATGTTTTGTTTAAAGAACAGGATTTAACTTGATGTTCTCATCTTTTGCTCTGAACAGTGTTTTTGGAGAAGCAATGCCCATAATTTAAATGGATAAGAAAATAACGTTCCCAAAAGCCACTTTCAAGCTAAGGAAACACCAAAGCTCAGTTAAGTGAAAAATCTAGAGGAAAACAACAGATGTTTAGTAGCTACCTAATACAATGGGAATAATCCAGCCCCTTTGGGGCCCAGAGCCAGAAACAGAAGGGTCTTCATAGACATGCCTCCCTTTGCTTATTGCACCAGTCCTGTGCCATTGCTCTGGCATTCATTCATGCCCACTCTCTGCAGCGTGCAGACTTCCTACAGTATCTGTTCATCACGTGATATGTTCCACCAGTGGCTGGTGGTGATGATGCAATGAAGTGGACTACTGGATGCCTGTAGATGAGGTGTTGCTGTGACTTACCATGAATGGCCCAAGTGTGCTGGTGGTACGTCTAGCACAGCAATGGAGCAGCACAATGGAGCCAGTATGGTGGAGCAAATGATAGATTATTACGTGGCATCATTCTTTCACAACTAAACATAAAAGTTTTTTTTTTTTAATCTTTCTTGATCCGCATCTGCTAGATGAAGTGATCCCCAAGTGAAAAGCGTCTTTATATTTGAACAAACTCATGAATATGTGCTTTTATTTGAGAATCTGGTTACTGGAATTCTGAGCGTTTGTTAGATATTTGATGTAACTCATTTGGAAAATTGCAATAGGTTTCCAGATTGATCATGAAGAAGAGGTGTTAATTTATAGTACACACAGGTTAACTTCAAGTGTCTTAAAAGAGATTTATTGGTAGGTTGCCCTCTTTGCCAAAGCGGGTATCCAGCTTCCTCATCGAATGACATTTGTTTCACAATAAACACAAATAAACTCTTCAGTGTCACAGACGGTCTTTTCATGTTAGAAATCTGGCTCCAAACTAGCAGTGAAGAATTCAGAGCACAGAAAGATTTGTGGTTTGACGGTTAATTTATGCAGTAAAATATTAATAAAAAATAAAACGTCTTGGTCTCATGCCACGTAGTAACTATGAGTGTGGGCTTCATTTCTTCATTATTTATTCAGTCAACAATGCCTGGCTTTGTTCATGTCTCCTTTGGGTTGGGGGGTTCAAGTGGACCATTTGTTAGTTTGTTTCAGAAAAGATAACGTAATTTCTACCACTGGTTCTCAAAGCAGGTTAGCACAAATAAAAACAAACACTTATAAGAAATATAAGAAATAAAACAGGGGTGGCTCCTGTTCTAATGTGTCCTTTGCTAAAAGGTCCTCCATTTTTCAATATTTTTGACCAGTCCCACAGTTTCCCAGCTGTGATGTGGAAATGTTTTTGTGACCTCTCTCCAAAGAAGAGTTTGGATTTGATATCACGCTTTATCACTACCTGAAGGAGTCTCAAAGCAGCTAACATTCTCCTTTCCCTTCCTCCCCCACAACAAACACTCTGTGAGGTGAGTGGGGCTGAGAGACTTCAGAGAAGTGTGACTAGCCCAAGGTCACCCAGCAGCTGCATGTGGAGGAGCGGAGACGCGAACCCGGTTCACCAGATTACGAGACTACCGCTCTTAACCACTACACCACACTGGCTCTCAAAGAGCTCCCCTGCAGTGTGTCATTTAAAAATAAAATTTAGTCATACCCACCATTACACTTTGACCATGCCCACTTTGCAATGAACCCCTCAGAGGCTTCACCACAGGTCATTGTGACTCCAAGCCCTGTAAGCCAGTATTAAATGCAGTCTTAAAAAAGTAACATGTGTGATAATCTGTGCATTTCCACACAGCCATGACTTAAGAACATCTATGGATGCCCTTTTCTAAGTGTCTGAGGTATGGAAAAAGGCTACTTGGGAGTGAACCCACTCATTCAGAACTGATATCTGAAAGTTTTGGTTCTGTTCTGACTATTTTCGAAGCAAACAGAGAATATTTGGCACAGCCCTAATTCTGCACCTCTATTCCTTTGTCAGAGTTTTGCTCACTACAAATCAGTGACCATCTTGCTTTCCCTTGAATTCCAGACTATTGCTTCCATGCTTCTGATATGTCAACAAGCCAGTATTCTAGCCAGAGCTAACTGGGCTTACTTCATAGCAATTTTGCAATGGATGAAAGAACTATTAGGCATTCCTGAAAGCTTACAGGTTCACCCCAGAGTGAATTATTACAATTTAGTTGTCAGCTTTAGTATGCTCTTACAGTGAAATGCTAATACGCTTTTGACTGTAGCTTCTCAGCTATGAACATCTGTAACACTGTTGTAGCGTACACGGTGAAAAACAAAATAAGTGGTGGCTGAGTACATCTATTGACAATTTTTCTTTACAGTCTGAAGCCACCTGAAGACTCTAACTAGATGAATAATAGCCTAACCTCCATATGGTTTCCGTTCTTTTAGGGTGATAGCATACAGAAAGAAAAATCTACTTTTAGCTCTGGCTTCTGTTTGCCTCTTTGTGAGTGTGTCTGAGAAGGCTTCCTGTCTGCTTGCTGATAGGAAATGTTAGTAAAACAGACGGGTTGAGTGACATTTCTCATGCGCTGCTAACATTTGCAAACTGGCACAGAGAACTTATTTTGATGCAGTCGTTAGCATGAAGGAATTCTTTATGACAGAGCTAAAATCACAATCCTTCACTTTAAAAAAGGGAGGAAAGGCACAAAACAATAATTTCTGTCTTGTTCATGGCCTTATACTATACATGCAGTGCTGTCTAGACTTTTTCCTATTTACAATTTACATTAAGTACCAACCAGTCAGAGTAGATGGGCTGCAACCCTGGACCCAAATGAACGGGGGAAAGCTTGACCTTACAGTCACTGGGGTTTAACTAGGGTAGATTCTGTCCACATCTCTGTGTTGTACTTGGGTGCTGAACCCCTTTCATTTCTGCCTTATAAATGGATGTCTATCATTCACTCTTGTGAGGGAAAAGTAAAGTGTTGTATTCATGGACAGTGTTGCAGGAGGGGCAAACCCCACACACCACCCAGGTTGATGCTAACCTAGTCTCCTCTGAGAAGGATTCCATGACAAATATGTCCACAGAGTGTTTCTCCGTCTTCTATCTTCACCTGCCTATCTTAGTGGCATTTTGCTAGTTGCTCTTAAGATGTGGAGACCTTAATTTATCCTTGCAAATAATTCCACGAACAATGGATTTAGTAACAAATGTTAGTCATTTGTGGTCTAAAAGGGTGGCGGGTTTTGTAAGGTTCTAGGGTCTGATCACCTAGAGGCAAGTCTTGCTCACCTTAGATGCATGGCTCTTTACAAGCCTGAAAGTAAGAATTTGGTATTCTGGAACCTGGTGAGAAAAGCAACATGCGGCAAGCAGGATAACTCATGCACAATTTGCCAAATGTTCGCTTAGCAGATTTTTTGATATTCGCCACAAACTCTTCTGCATCAGTAGATGAAGTGGCTACTGTATAGCTAAGGTTATGCTTCCCTTCATTAGGATGAACTCCCATCTGAGTGACATTGCCCTTTTTCAGAGGCATAATTCAGCTTCTTACAAAATCACAGCGTTGTAACACCCTCCTTTGCTCCATTCTTCTGCATTTCTGCAGTAGTAGGAATAATAACATCTCCGCTTGCTCCTGCTTTCATCAGCTGGGCTGGGTCCCTTCCTTCCCCTCGCAGAGGCCATCAGAAAAAACTGCCCCGTAAGGAAGAGCAACAGGACCATCTGCTCTTGGAGAGGGTGTCATTTGAGCCTCCCTGAGCCTTTCCTGTAGCAGCTGGAGTGATGAGTCACTGGCAGATTCTGACAAGGGCCCACCCTGTAAGGCCAGCAGCTTCTGACTGTATTATACTCACTTCCAGGAAGGCTAGGATGCCAGGATATTTCTTGGAGGCCTGTCAAAGCCTGTTTGGAAATGTGACCCACCTGTGGCATCAGACCCTTCTGCTCTAGGGAGAGGGTGGTGTCAACTAGATACCTCCACACACGAGTCTTACTTTCCATGGAGGGATTGGCAAGATGCTGGAATATGAATATGGAATAGGTGTGAGAAGACTGAAGTCCTGCCGTGTAAGTTCAACACCCAACATTTCAGTTGTGGGAGCTAATCAGATCTGTAGCTGAGGCTAGTTCCTGTGTTTCTCTTTTTCCTCCTCTCTCCAAAACCATCTTCCTTCTGTGTCATGTCATTTAATCTTAGAATCATAGAACTGTAGAGTTGGAAGGGACCTGAGGGTTGTCTAGTCCAACTCCCTGCAATGCAGGAATCTCCACTCGATAATACATGACAGATTACCATCCAACCCCTGCTTTAAAAGGAAGGAGAGTCCACAACCTCTTGTGGGAGTTTGTCCCACTGCCAAACAGCTTTTGCTTGTCAGAAAGTTCTTCCTGATGTTTAGTGAGAATCTCCTTTCTTGTAACTTGAATCCATTGGTTTGGCTCCCAGAGCAGGAGAAAACAAGCTTGCTCCATCCTCTACATGACAGCCCTTTATATATTTGAAGATGGCTATCATATCTCCTCCCTGCCTTCTCTTTACCAGGCTAAACATACCCAACTCCCTCACCCTGGTCGCCCTCCTCTGCACACGGTTCAGCTTGCCAATATCCTTCTTAATCTACAGGCGGCTCAGTGAGTCAGTGCATCTGGCTGTTAACCAAAAGGTTGGTGGTTCAAGTCCACCCAGGGACGGCTGTGGGCAGGATTCCTGCATTGCAGGGGATTGGACTAGAAGATTCATCGGGTCCCTCCCCACGCTACAGTTCTGTGATTCTTGAATTGTGGTGCCCAGAACTGGACACAGTACTCCAGGTGTGGTCTGACTAAGGCAGATTAGACTGGGACTATGGTTTTCCTTGATTGGGACACTATATTTATGATGATGCAACATTTGACTGACTTCTGGTTTTATTAAGCTGTTCGGCAAGACCTTTTCAACTGAAGCGGGATTAAAAGAACCCCCCCATCTTTGAATAAATAAATAAAATGTCTGCTATAAGTTAATTTATATTTTCCTTCCAGCTGCTTTCATGTCCATATCTCCATCCAAGTGAAGGGTAAGTTTGCAGTCTAAATGTGTGACCTGCCCAGAATGAACAGATACAGTGGTACGCTGAGTGCAGTGCAGTCCAGGTGTATGAATTAGCTGGGAAGCCACTAGATTTGAGCTTCTACTCACAATTCCTTTGGACCTATACTCAGCATTCCTGGTGCCTTACACTTCTCAGACACCAAAACTCCAGGAACTTACCAACCCTACCGCACTATTACCTCATGTTTACATAGTGAGAAATTGAATAACTGCTACAGATAGCACAATCTGTTCTGGACATTGCTCAAGTCTGAATCATGGTGAGCCATCGTTAGGTTTTACTAGCATTCCAAAGACCCTGGCAGACTCAGCCCATCGCTGTGCTGCAAACTAACCTGGCTATGTGTTGTACAGTTTGGTGGGTGTTGCTTTGAATCATTTGCCTTTTCCTATCCACTCTGCCTGATGCCTTTCTTGTTTCCTGTGTTGCATTTCTGCAAAGGCTTTATAGTTCTACTGCATGGGCCTTCTTGGTAGTTCCACCTCCCTCAGTAGTTTGAGGGGGGATCCAGCAGAGGGCATTCTCTATGGTAGCCCCTGTGTTATGGAATTCCCTCTCCACAGATACACTGAGATTCTTCACTATACAGATTTTGGTGAATACTGAACATGCATTTCTTTACCTTGATCTCTGACACCTGAGATGTGCATTTTCTGTGCATACCCAGAATCTGTTCCAGCTGGTTTTTTTTAATTATGCATTTTAAATTGTATTAAATTGTTGTAACTCACCCTGGGATCTGCTGGTGAAAGGTGGACATCAAATTTATTATTATGAAGAATAATAAACAATAGTAAATTTTAAAAACTAAAATAAATTATGTCAAGCCTTTGAAGAATATTAGGGCTTCAGGAATAAGCAAGGGCACTGTTACAGGGTTTTTCTTGTCCGGCATCCTTAAAAAAATGTTTTTTTGTTTTATAACTACGTTATGAGTTCTGCAATTGATGGGCTTATTGAATGCGAATTGCTTGAGTGCATGATAGATCAACAAAGATGAGAAGCAAACCTACGGACTGTCATATTAAAAATTGGCTCAACGGAGTGCATTCACCCCATTTTGGAAGTGATGAGAGAGCTTTGAAGAGTGACAGAAAGCTAGTGGGGTAGAAAAGGGAAGGATTGAGAGTGTGACCAGCCCCACTCACAATTGAACCTTTGGAACCAAAGGTTGCCTTGCTGAGAATCAAGGGGATTTTGAGGAACACCACTATCTATGACTGTAAGACCGCTGCTGATTATTTATGCTGGATTTGCCAAGTGAGAAAAGAGAGCAGAGAGCTTAACCACAATCCTGGTTTGGACATCACACTAAAGTAAACCTTGTCTTAGCTTGGTGTGGCAGTAAAAGGACTTGGGAGGAGCAGTGAGGCTGCTCTCTGGTGGAATCTTTGTAAGCCATAGCTTGGCAAAGCCAGTACCTCTCTTTTGCGTGTGGGCTATGCAGTTTTGCCTGAGAATACACAAATTGGTATTCTGATGTACTTTAAACTCGGTCTCGGAACACACAGCATCCCACTCTGCTTTAAATGCTCCTTAGTTTCCATGAAAACAGCACCCGCTACTTAACCATTTGGGATTATATGTTTCCAAATGAGTTTAGGCAAATAGGATTATGAGCAGCTTTCTTGTCTTTGTATTATATAACTTTGTGGGCAGGTACATTTCTTTCCAGAACAGTGTTCACACCAGCAAGTTTCTTACTTCTTACAGCAGGTTTGCTGTTGGCCACTTTTAACATCAATGCAATCTTGCATTCATTCCTTTTGGCCATCCTTTATGGTAGGATCTTAGGCACAAAAATGTGGTTTCGTTTAACCAACATGGTTTCTTGCCTTCACTGTCTTATCACTCTGTGGTTGGCATGGCGGACACTGCATAGCTGCATTTCTTTACGAGGTCTACAGGTAATACTGCATGGTGTTAATGAGACGCGTGTGAAATGCTTGTGCATTGTGGATGCATATAAAGTGTCTGCTTTCCTGGCATCAGTATTTTCCTGTGGATTGTGTTAAGTGATATTGACAGGTCATGTGGTCATTAGGGGCTTGACACAGCAGGAGGTAGCAGATATGCGTCTTCTGCATTAACACAATCAACATCCGTTCAACAGAAGGCCAGCCAGGCCTTTCCCTAGGAAACATATGCCAAAACTATTATCAATGGCTACATTATGGCCTGCAGCAAACTGGACAGGATGCTAATGGGGAGGGACTTGTGCAAGGAAGGCCCTGAGAGCATCGCAGTCTTTCCAAGAAGAGCGTTGAATGAAAATTATACTTCCACGGCTGGAACAATATATTGGTGTTGTCAGCAACATTAGAATTGTGATCTTTGTGCTGCTTTAGGATTCTGTAGGTTTGCTTTGTTTGTTTTGGCTGCTGTTTAACAGAGAGCGTGCCAGAAGCACAGGAAAAAACATTGAAGATGTTTATAAAAAGCACCGAAGGCCCTGGACAGCTCATTATTTCTCTTTGACGGAGAAATCTGTGATGCACATTAGGGTAGCTGTCACTATGTGTAATGAGGCTCTCTGCCATGTCATACTCAGGAGCTGTAATTCCATCCTACTTCATGTGATTATTACTATTATTATTATTATTTTAATATGAAGCAGTGGTATTATTGGTAGATGTTATAGGTGTAAAGGGAAATAAGTTGTGGTTTGCCACCCATGTAATATAATGAGAACCAGAAGAAGGAAAGGCTTTATTCTTCTTCATCATCATCATCATCATCATGATGTAATTGTTGTTAAATGAGACAGGTACAGTATTTCAAACTTTTTCAAGTAGGCATAACAAAAGATGTAATCTTGGAACTAGCTGACAATCTAAAAATTGGTTACCAGATCAGATGGGCATTCCCCTTTAGAATTCTTAAAAAGGATTCAAACGTAAAATTGTTACTATTTTGACAAAGTGATGCAACTAAGCACAGAATTAAATCTTTTTACTTAAGGTTTGGGTCACTTCTGTGCTTTTTTAAAAAAAAGAAGCTATGGAAGATTCTCTGTGCTACACCGCTCTCAACCTTACTTTTGCCCTGGTAAGCTTGCGGAAAGCACAATTAAAGCTATAAATATTAGGCATATGAAAGAACAAACCATGCTGAGAGAGAATCAGTATGACGTCTGCAAAAGGGTGTCTTGCCTCACTGATGATTCTTTTGATGTGTCAGCAACCATGTAGATAAGACATATTTGGACTTTCAAAAAGCTTTTGACAAAAGCATTGCTACCGATCCTTATTAAGTGACATTGTCAACCACTATACTATTTCTGTTGTGCCTTACTGTGTCCACTGGCTGATTTTTGACCTAACATCAACATGTATCCATCATTTTGGACACCAGCCTGCTTTTGGCATGTCTGGGAACGGGACCTAGACCAGCTGCTTCGGAGGCCAGCATAGTCCCCTTCCTTCGTCGTGGCACCGGAACCTTTCCTGACTTTGCCTGTGGCTGCTGCCCAGTTCTATGAGTTCCCTTGCATGCTGGAGGTGTGTTGAGAAGACAGGCATGGCCCCAGGTTGGCTTCTTCTGTGTTATGTGTGGTATATGAGTGTCAGTTCTGACATTGTCCCTGATCAGCGGACTGTGGCTGTGTTTAGAGGGTCTCTGCAGGAGTGTTTGGCATTTTCACACCATTTTTCTATTTTTATATTGTATCTCTCCCCCCCCCCCAGGCCCCATATGCATTGAATTGATTTCAGTAGTATGGCGGCCATTCCAAGGGTCCTGTGGTAGCATATTTCCAGTCTTGGCATAATGTTGAATGGCTTTGTCCATATGCATTGGGACCAGTTCACATTTCTAAAGTGACTGAAAGGCTGAAGGCTATTTGTAGAAAGGAAGTAAGCTTTCAGCATCATTTTCTTGCTTTAATTCTAGCACAGTCCTACTGCATGCAGTTGGCTGACTTGTGTCAAAGAAACCCTGTAATAAGTAGGCCCGGAAATAATATGGGAAAATGTATGTTTAGCCCGTCGATGTGTCAGCTCTTTCTCTCTCCTCCTCCTTCTCTTTCTTTGTGCCATCAATGTAAGTGAATTCCACATTCAATCACAGATTGAATATATGCCTTGTAGCATTGATTTTTCTTTCCTGGTCAACACCTATCATCCTGCGTAAATTTCATTTTGAAAAAAATAAGTATGACCCACCTTTTCTGCAGCCGCATCATAATCTTTTTCCTGACTTCAGAATGTGGCAGATTGTGTTTGTGTGTTCACTGTGCGAAAGCTTACAAAAACATACCGTATTTTTTCATGTATAAGACCATATTTTTTCCTCAGAAATAATAGGCAAAAATTGTGGGTCGTCTTATACACGGATAGCAGAGGGGGGACGGGCAATTAGTGGCAGCAGCCAGCAGGAGATTGGCAGCGGTGATTGGGCGTGTGATTGGTTGCTGTGGCAAGGCCTGCTGACGATTGGCTGTGGCAATTGGGCGGGTGATTTACGGCAACAGTGAGGCGTGCGTGCAATCGGCTGTGGTTGCATCGAGTGGGCAGTTAGGCTTTTGGCAGTGAGTGTGACTATTGGTGGCCACTGCAATGCATATGATTTGTATTGGTGGGCTGGCTGTAGAGTAACTGG